ACATCATGCTAAAAAAAAAACGCAAGACAGGAAAGCTGTGGAGAGATGAAAGAGTTGATGATTTAACTACACGCCTAAATATGAAACCTACTTTAATGTTTTGGATACAATTCTAACTCAAATACATAAACGATTTCATGACTTTAGTAACACAGTTACACATTTTGATTGCCTTGATCCGTCAAAATTATCTAAAGAAAATATAAATTCATTAAAAAAATGTCATATTTATTGTAACGACGTAAATACTGAAGAAGCAGTCGTAGAGTATGAGACTTTCAATAATGTGTATGCATCGATATCCCGATCACTGACAAGTGACGTTCAATTGAAAGATGTATTTCAGTTCTTGATTAAGAACCAGATAGCACCCGGTTTCCCTAACTTGTCTATACTTTACAAAATCTACTTGACTCTTTCTGTTACATCTGCTAATGCTGAAAAAATTTTCAGTGAACTAAAGATTACAAAAAATTATTTTATATCAACAATGACAAACGAATGTCTTACTGGATCAGCATTAATTTATATTGAACGTGAGCTTACTGAAAACATTAACTTTGACCCCTTCCCCCCCCCCCCCTCCCCGCGCGATACTACCCCTTAATCCGCCACTGACTAATAAAATTCAATATTTTACCTATATCTTGATTTTACAAATACTATATTAATTTACAGTACATTTTGAATGATTTTTGTAAAGATCTTTTTCTGTGTAAAATGTAAAATGTTTTGTATGTAAGAAAGTTTTGAATTTAATAACATCGATGCCGATGCATCGGTGATCTCAAAATATAACTGGATAGCGGATTCTCTTGTTTTTCCGAAAAAAAGTTGAAGCCAAAATTGGCCTCCCAAGATGGCGGCGATTTTAGTTTCTAGCGGTGAAACGATAAACATTCTATTTTACTTTATCAAATTACAAAAGAAAATAATGAAATAAGAATAATACATTTGTAAATTGACCAATAACGAAAAAAAAAAAAACGAATTTGATAATTATTAGAGAAAAAAAAAAAAATTATTTTTTTAAATAATTGAAATTATTATTAAATGGCATTAGTGAAATTTAGAATTTTAGCTTTATGTATAATTTATAAACCTTTTAGTTCTAGCTAAGAATGCCATAACTAAGAATTAGAACCCAATGCTGTATGCTAGAAGGTTAATAATTGCGGCTGTTTACCATTCATAACAGCATTGTAAACAGCAGCAATCATGTCTACCTACAATTTTATACTTGATATTTTTTTAAACAAGATACCAATTTCTACCAATGCTGCATGAACTATTAACTGAGTGCTGTAAGTACACAAAAACTCAGGGGTTTCTTCTAAACTTATATTATACTTAAATGCTATTACTGTATAAATTATATTAATAGTGTACCCCAACTATTGTAACTGCAAAATTGCTGATTTTGATTGTAAGCGTGGGCATTACAGAAAGTTAGAAACCTGGAGGTTTAAAAGTTAGAAACCTGGAGGTTTAAATGAAATGTAGTAACTTCATTTGGCTCTCCTGTAAAATTTGTCAAATGTGAGTTACGATAGTAACTCACATTTAACCTCTGAGGTACAGATATATTCTTCAGTGTCACTTATATTAATAAAAAAAAACAAGGTCTGGATTATAGTTATTTTAATAATTTTTAAAACAAATAAAAAGTAAATAATAATTTCTTATAACTTAAAAGATAATCACTCAATATAATTGGTGATATAAATGTATGTAAAAATACATTTGTTTGAAAAAAATGTGTTTATTAAATTTTTAATATACAATTATTCAAAACACCTCTTTGAAATATCTCTTCAACTAAAGTTATGTATACTGTTTGCCTGCTATTAAGAATTATGGATATATGTAATAGTTTGCTGACATTTTTATATTATTAAACTGTATGTTGCAGTTAAATAATTTTATGTTTATGCCCATGAGTTTATTCGCATAAAAGATTGATTTCATGACTTATTAAATTCAAGAAACCTATTCGCCAATAGATACAAGTCAGCAAGAAAAAGAAAGCTCGCCAAAATAAGAATAAGAAAAAGAGCTTGTTAGATGGTTTTGACTAAGCTTATAGCTCAGTAAAAACCATCTAACAAGCTCTTTATTGTGCTGTGAGATCTTATTTAGCTGTGAGATCTGCAAGAATGTTTAAAAACAATATCAAATGCCAACAACTCACAGCCGCATATAAATTACTCTTGATGTGAAGTAGCATTTAATGTTAAAATGGAAACTGCAGCATCAGAGATAAAATTTGTATTTTAAAAGCTTTAGATTCTTTTTTCTTTTGCTCGCCCCAGTATTAAAATATCTGACTGAAATTGAATTAATAAGAAAATATGATATGTTGGAGAGAAAACCAACTAATAGTGACCACGAATATGCAGATATTCTAAATTGCAGCATTCAAAAAAGCATTGATCTCATATATTGTCAGATACGTAGCTAAAATGACATTATAATAAAGTTATCTGTATTAAATATGTGTGTATATTGGGTAGTTAAGAACTACCAATGCTGTGTGCTAGAAGGTTAATAAGATTAAAAGGTACATAAGTTGTATAAAAAACAATATTAAACAATTAATATATGGTAAAACTAAAATTGAAAGAAAGTAAATAAATGAAATATAAATAAAAAATGAATAAAATTATTTTGATTTTTCACATTTAAATAAATTATTTAAAAGTTGTTTGTAAACTTTTGAATTAGATAACTACTAGGTTCTTATTTTTTTTTAATTTTACTAATAGGTTATAACTAGTTATAAATATTAGTTGAACCTGATAATTAACTATTAGGTTCTAGGTAAAATACTAGTTTCTAGTACGTTCTTTACTAATGTTAAATAAATTAATTTTTAATTATTTAATCAAATTTTTTTATTTTATTTAATATTTCTTATTTAATTAATTAATTTTTTATATAAAAAGAAATATATTATAAAAACTAATTATTAAGACTATATTTTGTTAAACAAAATATTGTATATATTTTAGCAATTTACGTAAATATGTAATATTGCGTTTCTTTTTGAAATATATGCCATGTAAAACGAAAAATTATATTTGTATTTGAGGCTTGTACATTTATTATCATTTAAAAAAGATATAAACGTTCGTAACCAAAATTTTTGAATTTGTAATCAACTAAATACGCTGCCATCTAGGGAGGCAAAAACTGGCTTTAAAAAAATTGCCGTAAACGCTATCCAGTTATATTTTGAGATCAGTGGTGCACCCCTCCTTATAATAGACAGGCACAATCATTTTGAAAAAATATTTTTTCAGTAAAGTTATCTTTTTGTATTGAAGAATTGAACCTGAAAGACGTTGGCATTTAAGTTTGGCATTAATGCTTAACATCCGCAATTGTTAAGCAATGGTTTTGTTTATCCAACTGTAATGGCTTGTTTAAAACAAGATACCTTTTTTCGATATAAATACTTTTTTAATCTAACTAATGCAACAGTATCTATTAAAAATTTCAAATATTTGAAAATGTCAAAAACCAGTACTAATAATACAAAGTAAACAGCTTTCAGAACTTTATGTTTATGAGAAAATTAATCAATTACTTAAAATTCATTTTTTAATGTCAATAATAACGTTTGCCCCAAAATCAAGCAATTATATCTCAAAAACATACAACAATAACTTTCAGTCAAAGTTATCAATACTTAACAAATAACTTATGCAGTCAAGACGCTTTGAAATTGTATGCATAACAATTTTAACTGATTTAAGCTAAATATAATTGAGTCAAGAACGATCAAACCTCCTCTTTGATTTTCAATATAGATGATTTTAGGCAAAGACATGTGTTTTAGAAGACAACTCTTTATACAATATTAAAAAAGTTAGTTTTTATAGAAATAGTGTGTTAAAACTTTAAATTATTATTTTCAATAAGACAAATAAATATCTGAGAAATCCCATATTATAGTTGAAAAAATAATAAGTGCAGTTTTCTTTTTCTTTTTTAAACT